TGCTTGTGTTTTCTAGGGCCTTATAGAGTGGGATTTTATCCTTGTTTGGCTTGTGGGACAGAAGGGTGGGTACAAACAAGGTAATGAAGTTGGGTTAGTTCTGCATTGTAGGATATAAGAGAATATGGGTCTTATAGAAACCTTGGATATGCAGGTGTTTTATCTTATTCTGGTTGTAAAACTAGTGATATCTCCAAGGGAAGAAGCACTCAATAGTGACTCTGGGCCCAAATCTGTAATGTGCATTTCTTTTGGAGTTTAGGGGTCTAAGCATTGTTTGGGTTGGGTCGGCACAAGGCAAATGTTGACTACTTGCCATGCGAAATTTTAGCTTTGTATTAATTACCTTATTTGATTATTATAACCTGACTCGTGCCACGAAGTTAGTAATTGTTGCAAGAGGTCAAATTTCAAAATTGTTTGTTGGTATTTACCAATTTATTGATGGACAAATGGGTGTTTGTTGAATTATCTTGTTGTACAGATGATGTAGTGCGAAAATAACAATTAGCTTGAACACTGCATTACAAAAGTAATGAAACCATAATCATAGCATGAAATCCAACTAATAAAGACATAATTGGTAAACAAAAAAACATGACTTGAAAATAGAAAAATTAATTTTTAATAACTAAATTTTTAATTAGTTAGTTAATCAAACATATTGAACAATTTTTTTAATCGTTTTGAACAAAGTCTGAGTGCCTTGTTGTTGTAGAGTCTGCTGACTATAATTTTTATTTTGAAATCGTATTCTTTTCTGAAAAAGACAAGATCTGTGTGAGATGAAGTCAGATGCAGGTAAATTCTCACCAATGTTGTTGTTGTTGTCGTCTAATAAGTCAATAGTTATCTCTCTGGCTCCTTACTGCATGTTTAAAGCTTAATATGACCCAAATTTCTCCTCCGCTATTAGTCAAACATGAAATCTTATTTTATCATTGCATACAAAGTCTATGTACAAAACTAGTTTTTTCTTCAAATTTAAATGTTTTATTCTAATTTATGCTGATAAAGACTTAGCCCTGTTTGTTTTATATTAAAATCAGATTTTTAGTAGATTTTGTGGGTCACATGAAATGTGTGGTTAAAATNGTTGTGGATCCCATAAAACGTGTAGTTAAATTAATTGTTGACTTGGACTTAAGATTAAAATCAGATTTTAATTTGTACCAAACAGGGCTTAATCTTGTATGCCTGTCATGTAGTCAGCAAGACAAAGTTTTGTTCTTCTGTCCAAGAAAACTATTACGTATCTTAGTTAATTTATTAGCCTCCTTAATTCTCATTTATGGAAATTGGTGCTGTGCTAGCTAGCAATTAATAGAGTAATTATTAGAATTTTATAATTTGTAGAATATTAATAATAATGGTGACTGTCCATTATGACTGATTTCTGTATTATGTGTCTTGTGTCTACTAAAGATGTGGCTTTACATATCTTCTCGTTCAGCAACTTTTCTAATTTACTCATTTTAGTTTGACATAGCTTCGATATTAGCATTCAGTTCATTTGCTGATCTTGATTTCAAATTTTTTATTGCAAGTGTTATCCAGTAAATAGTGATCATATGAATAATTCAAAAGGTATCATTGTCCTGCATGTGGTTATTCTCGAATCAGTGCCTGCCGCACAATCCGTATTGAATCTTGCACCATTAGATTACTTCAACACTTCCTTTTATAGGTATGGAATTACATATTTTCAGGGGCAAATATGCCCTGGTTATATTGGGGGGAAAATACGACATGTTTTTTGTGAGACTTCGGTTAATACAAAGGAGAAGGTTAAATACGAAAGTCCCGAATACTAACATACATAGACGCAGATATTTCACTTATAAAACAGAGAAACTGCCATAGACTTATAAGGACAAACTTTTGGTCTACCTAAGCGTCCAATCAACTTTTGCCAGACATTAGATTATTCTTTATTTTAGAAAGTGTTTTGACTATTGGTGTTGCATCATAAGATATATAATGCAGCCAGTTCATTACTAGGTGAGATTTTAGTTTGATGGAATTGAGGAAAGAGAGGAGAAAATACAAGGGGTGTTTCATTTCTCTCTTATCTAACGTTGTAATACATATAGAATCAAACAATAGAATTTTTTTTTCTACAATTTCTAACATGATACAGTAACAAGAAAACAAGATTGCAGAGATTTTAGATTTTTTGTGTTGAATGATGATATATGACATGACACACGAGTATTATGTCTTTACTAGTTACATGATATATATTGCAGAAGCAGGGACATTTTTTCCAGATT